AAATAATCTTTTGCCTTATTTTCTCCCTAAGCTCTTTCTGTTGTATGCTTTTCTCACTGATTTTCTAGGGGCAGTTTTGTTTTTATTTCCTTCTCTTCACTATTAGAAGAGAGCACCTCTTCCTACTTGGAAGACACATAATAATCTTTTATTGTCATTTACTCCCCCTTTCCTCCCAATTCTCTAGTCCTTTATCTTAAAAAAAACATAGAAAAAGAAAAAAGAAAAAAAAAAGGGAAATGTATTTGTGATTTGTCAAAACAAAATATACTGACTTCCCATTTATGACAGTGTGGGAATCTAGCAGGCAGAGCTAGGAGATCAGTTATATTCTTTTACCAGCCCTTCACTGCTGTAGTTTTTTTGCCACCACTTCATCACCACAGGTTAAGAAGAGAAAACCTAGTATGACTAGAGTGCTACCTCCTGTGCTACAATCACATCTTTATTCTGTCGCACAAACATACACAACTCTTTCTCCCTTGGTTTCTTTTCCCCATACCACATCTTGAAATCTCAGATCTCAGTCTCTCTCACCACTTTTGGTGTTCTTGAGCCATACACCAAAAATGCCAGGAGGTTTCAAACACAAGCATTGCATTCAGAAAGTATCCACCCACAAGCATAAAAAAATAAAAAAATACAAATTATGCCTTGGCAATTCTTTAAAGGAACTGTGCACAAGAGCACAGACATCTGAAACCAGTGTGTAACGAGCAGTCTTCAGACATCATAAGATTCGGCACCTTCAATTAAGAAACACTATTATAATAAAAAAAGTTAATGAAATCCAGTTATTGCATCATCTAACATATCAGAGATCAAAATGCGTTTTTCTTGCAATACCTTTATGCAAAGCCAGTTCAGGATATTGAAGCAGATTTAAGTAATTTCTGTTTTTAAACTGCCTTTTCATCCATAGAAGAAATATGGTACGGACTGTGACATAGACTGTAAGAATTATGGTTAGTCTACTTATCAACACATTTATGTTCCAGTGGTTTAACAACAAAAGTTAAAAATTAAGTTTTCTGGCTTTGTGAATTTTCAGCATTGCCATATCCACTAACAGAACAGCTAGACTTCAGGACTGATAAAACACATTGCTCTTCTCTCACTTAAACTTCTCATTATGGACAAGAACAATGCAAAGGTCTACAGTACAAGATCCTGAAAACATTTATAAGACAAACTGTACTAGCATGGACTGGTAAGACTTCATAAAGAATTTTTTGTCACTGGTGCTAACTAACTACTGCCACCTTACACAGTTTTCCAAGGCACCAACAGTAAATATGCTTACACAAATGATCTAATTCTCTGAAAGAGAAAGAACGGCTTCTCAAAATTGGTATCATCAAGCTTAACTGCAGAAGGACTTCAAGAAAGCCTGAAGAGCAAGTCATTTAGTACCCTCTTGTGATAAGAATTAATTTACATTGCTACTGACTGCATTTACCTTTCTGTACTCTAGGTCCAGCTATTATTGGGAGCTTTGCACCAAGTCGTACTTCAGTAAAACACCTACCATTTTCATTTCGGAACAAAGCAACTTTTATAACCTCATGGTACCGTCTGCTTGCAATGCCCAAACTCATGATGCATCAGCGTTTCCATTATCAAGCTTTATGAAAAGGGGTTTCCCCATTCAGCCATAAAAATCTCTGATTCGTCCAAATGTTCAAAATATTTTTTGTCTTAAAACAAAAGACTTCTCTCTGATCAAAAGAAATAACATTTCCATCTACATTAATCCATGCGCGGTGTGCATGGATTGCCATTTACAGACACTTTAAACCAAATGTCTCATTTTAAGGGACACCATATGGTGTGTGCTATGATCTCTTTAGTTCTAACTCTCACAGTCAGTGTAGCCTTTGAATCTAGGTCTATGCAAGTCAGTAGCCAATTTAAATATGGATTTTTACTAGCTATTTCAAATTATACTATTTCATTTGTCTAAGCAAAATACTGCTAGCACACGTTCACATCACACAGTAAACTCCTTTTCAGTCTATGAATGCAAGTTCAGATCAGTGCACAATAATGCTACGTGTGTTCTACGGTACAAACCTGAAAGGAAAAATACACAGCTCTACTGAAGAAGTAAGAGATGCACGAATTACAATATACAAGGCTTGGTTAGATCTCAACAAGCTAGATAAGTCACTGGCCCAAGGAGACTGACTGCAAATTTCAAATTGTATCATTGGAACTTCCCACATATTACTACTACAGAAAGAGAAAAACACGAAAAATGTCCTAATGCATGGTAGAGAGCCACACACAGGTGCACATACAGCCTTTCACGTCAAACACAAGCTCAGGTCAGCAGAACGTGAGATTATGCCTCTTAGCATTAATGCCATTTCTCTTGGTTTTCTGCAGATAATTCAGATCATAAACACATGAAGATACAAATAAATCAAGATGTAAATGCCTTACCTTCCTATTTTACAAGCCACTGCAGTTCTCAGATTATGAGTCAGTCATATGTTCATCTGCAGAGGAATGACTCAGTATAAACTTTCAAACACTCGTTATTTTTTCTAACATATAACACGGTAATTAATGAAACGTATTAAAACGCAGTACTGAGAATCAGCGCACAAAACGAATGGCGTGAAAACAAAACACTTTTCTTTCTGCGCACGCCAAGCAGATGGTCTTATACCGCAGGACCGTTGGAGGCAAACAGACTTTATAAAAATATAACTCCTTCCACACCAGTCAGAGACAGCTCCGTAACAACGGCAAAGGATTTTCCCCGGAGGAGACAGCCTTAGTGCCTATCGCCCGGGCGCCGAGCGGCGCCGAGCAGAGCAGGAGCTGAGCCGCCGCAGAGGGCAGCCGCGGGAGGTATGAAGTTGCGCGGACCCCGCGCTCGGCTCCCAGGCGCGGCGGCTGCCGGCAGTGCCCCTTTAAAGGCCGTCGGCCCGCCCCCAGGACTGCATATGGAGGGAGCCAGGAGCTGAGAGAGGCTTCTGCATTCAAACGACACATCAAACGCCGCAAGCGTCGCCTGCCGCCGCACAGCTCCGCTCCGGCCTGTGGCCGGGCTCCCCTCTCCTCCCCTTCTCTCCCCGGCACGCACGCACACACACATCGGGGGGCGGAGGGGGAAACAAGAGGAGAAGGACTAGAGGGGAGGCAGAAATAAGTAAGTGAGAAGGGGGCACCTGCAAAGCGCTGGAGTGTCGTCCGGGCAGCAAGGGCCCACGCCGACCCCGCCGGAGGCTGATCTATCCCCGGGCACCAGCCGCCACCAAGGTCCCAGCAACAGGCTGCGGGTGAAGCACGCTTGGCCCCTGCGTGTATCAGATACCTCGTATCAGCGCCGCGCCGCCGCGTTGCCCCCGCCGGCGCCGTGGGAGCACACCCCAGCTCCCGCCGCCCGCCCAGCCCCGTCCCTCCGTCTAGGGAACCCGAGCGCTGGGGGGCCAAGCCCGGGCGATGCCCCAGCCCTGAGCGGGAGTCGCCACCAGGGCGGCAGTGAAGCGCTGTCCCCGCCGTGTCTGTGTGTGCCTTCCCCCCTCCCGTTCACCGCCTCACGGAGCCGCTCCCCGGGGCGGCGGAGCCCCGCGGACGCCCTACCTGCGAGCGTGTGAGGGGAGCGGGACAGCGGGCAGCAGCTGGAGCCTAGTGAAGGAGAATGCCAGTCCGACGGAAAGTCCCTACCACTCTGCGCCGTCTACCCCCGCCCCGCACTTCCTCTCCCGCCCGCTCAGGCTGGAAATCCCCGGCGAAGCCCGCTGCTCTCCCGGCTCCTCCTCACACACCGAGGGGCGGGCCCGGCCGAGCCGCTCAGCGCGCGCGCAGCCGGGGGTCGGGCCTGTTGTGCCCGCCTGCACCTGATGCCATCGCTAGCCCCCAGCCCCCGGCAATGGGCACAACGGGGGGTGCGGGGGGGGGCTCTGCGCTTCCCGCCCGGGCACTCGCAGCCAGTCCCGCCCGGCGCCTACCGGCGCCCCGCAAGCAGCGAAGGGGGCGCGGGGTGGGATGTGAGGAGAAAGCGTGTCCCGCTCGGGGCAGGAGGGGGGGGAGCGCCGGGGCAGCCGTGCCGAGGCTCGCACCGCTGCCCTGGGTGCTCGGCCTGGGGGCGGGCGCTGCTGCGTCGGCCCGACCGTTGGGCACTGGGGGAAGGGCGGGAGCGCTGAGGAGGGGATGGCGCCAGTACGCGGGCGCCGGAGAGAGGGATCGGCGCAGAGGAGAGCCGCTGGTTTCTCGTCTTCGCGCCGAGGAAGGTGCGAGCAGCCCCTCACAAACGGTCGCCTCGAACACAATAGCCTTTATTGAAATAAAGAAAAAAGACACTGGGGAAAAGGGGAGGGAGGAGGAGGAAAAGAGAAGCAGGGAGGGGAGGGGGAGAAGAGTCTGGAAAAGCTCTGGAAAGAGCAGCGAGCCAGAGCTGTTCGCCCTCCCGGAGAGGCCGATCGTCTCATGGAGCAGGCGGGGAGCAGCCGACCGCAGATGGCAACCCCGAGTTGCCTGAGAGTATGGGGGTGTGCCTTTACCCGGCGTCCCGGGGCGAGAGGCAGCCGTCCCCTTCCTCGGGAGACTCTCCCGGCAGCGGGGAATGGGGGGCGACGCTGACACACGGTGGAACTTATCGGTCCGGGGGTCCACGTTAAATAAATGCCGGTTTCGGGCTCTGCTTGTACCGCGGTGTTCTGATCACGGCAGATGCCTAGCCGGTACCGGCGTCCCCTGTTCAATGCGGGGCGGCTTGTGTCACCGCAGCTTGTGTCACCGCGGTCTCACCGGCTGCTGGAGGCGGGGGGGCTCGGCTGGAACGGGAATGTGGGGTTCAGACGGAGCCAGCGGCAGCGAGGGCTGGATCGGCTGTAGGAACTGCCGCACAAGGGCTCTTGGAGCTCCGGGTGTAGCGATGGTGCCGGGGAGGCCAGGGAGCCGGGAAAGCTGAAGTCGTGAGGAATGTGCAGAGCTGAACACGGAGAAATGAGTGGTGTTTGGCTAATTTCAGTGAGATGAGGTCACCATCCTTTTTGGACGTTGTTTATTGAGGGATCACTAGGGAGGAACAGTTGGATGCGTGATCCTGAACGGACAAGCTTTGCGTCATAGTTGCCGCTTACAGCATCTCCCCGCATCCCGACATCCATCCTGACCCTCTTCGGTCTTCATCCCCCGGATCTCTGTACCGCCCACTACAACCTGCCCTGCACGACCAAACACCTCCAGCTCTGGCTGTGTCCTCACCGGGCCCCGAAACGTGAAGCCTGGCCCGCACTGCTAATTCCCTGCTCGTGTGCTGGCTTTTTCCTCTTTCCACCTTCCCGCTTTCTCTCTCCCCCCACCCTCTCCTGCCTTTTGCTGCTGTCCCCAGTAAAAGGCTGGCTCAGCTGTCAAGACAGCTGCGCTTTTTGAAATGATGCTGTGAACCTGCTATCAGAAAGACAATCTAAGACCGATGTCTCAAACGTTCCCATCACTTGTGCGAGATTGCTTAGCTCTGGACCGGCTGATAGGACTGTGCACCAAGCCTGGATCTCTCCATCAGCATGGCAGCAAATAAGTTTCTAGCAGAGACAAACCTGCAATTTCCTTCTTTGCCACTCTTTTTGCTGTTGTATATGTGTCCTCTTGCTTTTCCCTAAAAAAAATAAAATAAAATAAAAGATAACAGGATTCCAGTGCCCGTAGCTCTGGCAGCTGTATTAATGTATTCTTTCCCAAAAAGAGAAAACAAATTCCTATACTGTCTAAAATATGTCAGAAGTTTTTTGACATTCACAAATGACTGTAACCAAAGGGGATGCATTGATCTAATGCAGTATCCCGTATCATGACTACAAGATCTGAAAGATTTTCTAATACTATTATTTATAGTGAGCTGTGTCACTGATTATCTTGTCCTTAACTGGTTTGGAATCTAACATTTTAAGCAATGTTTTCACTGGACCCAGAACACTGTCCCAGTGCTGTTGCTGCATGCTGTACACGTTTGCATAGCAATACTGTTTAGAATATACTGTGTTCAGAACAATAGAATAACAGAAATAATGGTAAGGACCATGGGGCAACTCTGTACTTTAGTAAAATGGTTTGAAGAAATAAAATAATAGGGCATTACACTGGAAAATTACATGAAAGAAAATAATTTTTTAAATAAATAAAATCCACTAAGGGAAGAGTGGTAATCTGTTACAGACTTGAACAGGGATAGTTATCTCCAAAAACTATGGGGAAGATATATATATATCTCCATAAATATATATGGAGACCAAATATCATGTGATTATGGAAACTATAATTTCCCAGATACAGCCTGGAAGACACCACTGGGAAATGGTGGGGCTTAAACATTCTCAAGTGTCATAGAAACTCAATTTCTCAAGCAAACAGTCCATGATGCAATTTTAGGCCTCTATTAATAAGCAGCAAGGACCTTGTAGAAGGCCATAGTACTGAAACCAATCTTGAACTGAGTGATCAAGGACTAATCCAGCTTATGTTAAACTGCAAGAGGGACAAATTCAGATCTTTGTTTAAGACTTGGGATCATAGAGCAGCAGACTTCAAGAAATGGAGGAAATTCCTGAGACTGACAGGACAAAGGAACCCAAAGATGTTGTTTACTCAGAGAAAGAAGCTGGCAAAGGAAATAACAATTGCCAAAGCAAGGATTTGTTCAAGGTTAGAAGTAGTATCCTGCGCCTAAAACACTCTGTAGTGAGAGGAGAAAGGCGGTGGTGCTGGTAGCCTTGGGCCTGCTTTGCCTGACCTGACTATGTGGGTGAATTCCTCCATGAGAAAATGACTGTGATCTGCCAGTGAGGATAGCTGTGGAAAAGGCTTATGTGAGTCTATGATGCATGAAGTGGAGTATTTTTAGTAGAAAGAGGGAAGTATTGTAGAGCTTTACACAGCACAGCTAAGGACCCTTGTTTGGAAAATTATGTCCAGCTCTGGTGAATTACCATCACAGAAGGTTGACTTAGGTCACCAGAGATGCAGAAGATGAATACTGGAGTTGCTGGGCTGCAGAGTAGCTGTATTCTTGAATGGGAGCTGCAAGCAATCTTGGCTTCCTTAACTAGCCAAATAAAGCCAAAACAGTATGATGATTCACTGTGAATACATTCAAACAGTAAATATCAAGGAAGGAGAACTATTTAAATTAGAGAATTATACTAGCACAAGGATGTATAGATATAAATTGGTAATGAGTACACAGAGTGAAAAGCTTTCTAGCCATTCCAGGAGCAAACAGTACTTTAAGCATAAGTGTCTAAATGATTTTAAATCAGGGCATGATACTTTTGTATGTCTAAGAGGAATTTAAAGGGGGGCTGAGCTCCTAACATTATACTTTGACCATTCTCAAACTTCAGGGCTTCTTCTGGTCCTCTACCCCACCTGCATTTGGGTTGTGAGTTTTTTCAACTACCTCTGAAGCGCTGGAAATTAGCCAGTGATACCATGTAGAGAGGACACTGGTGGTACTAAATCATCAGGTGGTTTGTTGTATATCTTGCTTACAGGCATTACCATTGAACTGATTCCAGATTTGGGTCACAACAAAACGTTTTCCCTCAGGTGAGCCTGGCAAAGGACTGTTTTGTCTGTTTGGGTTTTTTTTCTCTCTGCCACTTAGAATCTTCTGAGAGATTCTGTGCTAAATATCTTGTTGCTGGGGTACTGGTTATAGTCTTCTGTGATAATCCTGCTTAAGAGATTTGGTCCTTTACTGCATCTCTTAAGTTTATTACCTGATACTAAAAGGTGTTTAGTGACCCTCAATGAGTGGGGGCTGCAAAAAATATATTCTGTGAGACTTCCTAAACAAAATGGCCATTGAGTGGTTGTAGAGAAGGATCATTTCCAGACTTACCTTCCCAAAAGTAGCATCAACAGGTTATTTTTAATGCTGGAAGTAAATCTGAGGGGGATGGAGGGAAGAGAGGGCAGCAAACCATTGTTTCTTGTGTGAATTAACTTACTGCAATTAACAATCATTCAGCTAAACGTTTGTAACAAGTAATGATACAGTACATCCTTACTAACCATGCTGTTTCAGGTGCAGTTTAGCACTGCTTTTGTACATAATGCTAACTGTAAGCATTGTGATTTGTGTCCATTGTGCATGCCCTCTCCACAGTTTCTGTGGAAGGTGGTTATGTTTTGCTCCTAATTGATACCTATTGCAGATCTCAGCAAGACTTAGCAGGACTCAGTTTCTGCATTTCTGGCACTGAGGCAGTTTCCTGACTCGCAGCTTCCTCATCTTATGTTTTGGATTGAAGATGCTTATTAACCGAATAATAAAAACATTAAATTTACATTCCTTTTTATTGCTGAAGCACAGCCCAAGAGGACCTGTATCGTGGGAATACGCATTTATTTACTGCATCCTATACATGAGATAAAGATTTCCTGGAGTTTATTTCAACTGCTACTAAGCAATAATGTCTAATGTGATAGCCCACTTGCTTAAGGAAAAAAAAAAATACTTCCCCTGCCCAAGTGATGATTTTCTAATTTAAATTCCTAGAAAGTGATGGCTTTCTAAAATGACAAGCATTTGAGGTGAAACATTTCCCAAGTCTTACAGAAGTTAGTTATATATGCCTTCATGAGTATGCTGTGACATTTTTCCTTTCTTTCAAGCTAATTGTCATTCCCAAGTCAGCTTATAAATCTGCTTCACAATTGACAAAGAATACTAGTATGGCATATCACAGCTGCATCTCAATTATTTGAAGGCCTTCTTACTCTCCTGTTGAGACTATTAAAAATATATTGAGGTTCCCAGGCTCCTCTACCATCAAGACTGCCATTGTGTCCATGCTAAATTGACTTTGGAGTCAAACGAAAATTTTGAGTGCTTGTCAGTGGATTTCCAAAGAGGCCTGTAGGGTAGTTCATGTGAGCTCTAAGCTGTACCTGGAAAAAGAGACAAGATACAGTCCCACAGCAGGGAATTACTAGAGCACAGATGTGCTTCAGCTGTACGTCTGTCTTTCAGTATGGATGCAAAATCAGAGCTGTGATGGTAATAGTACAGAATCAGCAAGACCAGCTCTCCACCATATGGAGATTTCCCTGTGACAGCTGAATCTGAATATAACTGGTAAAAGCATCTTAAAGGCTGCTTTGTGCCTTTTGAACAGCACAAAGCAGCTTTATCAGGAGCAAGGATTTGGTCCAAAAGTTTTCCCTAGACATAAGATGTCAGTTGTTATACTAGTTTGTAACTAACAACTGCAAGGATTCTGTTGAGTAACTGGCAAAGTAAAAAGCTGACATGAATATAATAGCTGTATTGATTTTTTCAGATGCCTTCATTTTCTGAATGATACATCTATTTCTTAAAAGATCCCTAGGATCTTTTCTCCATAAAGAATCTCAGAATCTAATCTTATAAGAGGAAAAAGCCTTACTTAATATTGGCAGGAAGACCAGATGAGTGTATTTGCAATGCTGAGAATTGTTCGTTATTCTAGAAACTGTAATGGCTGATTGCAGTAATCGATAAAAGCTGTTTCTTCAGAGTGACGTAACTGTTTTTACTTTCACCTTTTCTGCATGTAGTCATGGGAACACAAACCAACCTGTGAGAAGAGGGCTTAGAAACAACTGAAGCATTTGAGGATGTCTGGGAGGTGGTCATTGAGTCTCATCACTTTCCTGGTTTCCAGCTTAGCAGTGTGTCTTACATCAGAATAGATTTTTTTCCATTTGTGCCAGCCTTTCCCCCTTTTCCTGCCTCCCTCTCCCTCTCCCCCATCCCCCTCCCCCCTTTTTAATGGCACTGCTCTAGTAAGTTCTAAAAGGAGATTCCAGAGTATTCTTGAAGGTTGTTTGAGCCCCTGGGTGTTCTTTTGTTAAAAGTAAACTCTCTGCAAAAGGTGCATTTCCAAACCCTGAAATATTCTGTCCTGACTTCACATGCAGCCTGATCCAGGCAAACTTACCAGGCTTGAGTACTAAAGAGATTACCGCGAGATGGAACCTCTGTGTTTGCTATGCAGTAATGCCAGCAGACTCCTGGAGAAAATCCAGTCAAGAGCAATCATTATCTAAAGAATAGTTGTTCTGGAAGCCTAGAGGAGAACAACACTTCTCTTGTCAACACTGTTCCCTTGGGAGCTATAGCTGATACAGCTAACCCTCATTCCCTTTGTTAAATTGCATGGATCATGCCCTGCGTGTATGACAGAGATACTGTTGTGCTTGTAAGGATGTTCCATTCCAGATCTAGTTCTTACAGATGCAGTGTTGGGCCTTCTTTCATGGCATTAACTGTTCCCTGTCTTAACATATATCCAGCCTTCTAATGGACCACAACTGTTGGATTCAAGACATATGCACACTGACACGACGGTATAATGTCTTTCTATCTCTCTGACTTTGTCATAAAGCTTGTAGTACCTTGTTGATCTGCCTCTTGTTACTCAACAGTTTTTTCTCTATTCTTAGCAATTTTCTCACCTTGTATAGTAAAATGGTAATTCAGATTTACAGGTATCATTCCTTCTGCCGCATGATAGTCTGCATAAAATGTGGTAACTCTAGAGAAAAAATAATTACCCAGCTGTTTGTCTGAAGATATTTCTTAGCTGGATTCTACTTATCCACCTGAGTCTTCAGAGTTAGGAGAGGAAAGAAGATCAGCATACTCGCTGACTGGTACTTGGAATAATATCACTTTTGCCTCTATTTTTTTTTTTATCACAGGGTTTGGGAAGGTTTCTGCCCTGTGCATATGAAGAAAGTGACAAAAAGTGCTCCAGATGGTGTGAGGACAAGAATGGCTGTCTTGGGATCCAGACAATTCACTGTCTTAGCAAGCCCCATGTACTGCATAGGTGAGACCCAAGAATAGGTATCTAGCTTAAATATATCTTCAGGGAAGCATAATTATATTCAAATATTTTCCTTGCTGAGTTTCAGTATTCTCTGTATCTAATATGTTCATTTTTCAAGTAAAAAAAGTAAAATCTAAATGATCTCAGGACAACTTTAGCCTAGCCCCTATGAATCAAACTTCTTTCCTTCTTCCTCACCAGTTACGATGAATGCTCTGCAAGCCACATTACACCCTAATCAGCATATGCATAATCTTTACTGTCTTTGTTATTACAGTATGACAGGGTTATATATAAGCTAGAGAGTAATTAGAGGTAGAAAGAACTCAGCTCCAATGATTAGAATAAAGGAGTAAAGACTCAAGAGCACATAGACTGGGGAAAAAAAGCTGAGAAGAAAGGTGAGTTGGCTACCCATGGTAAGACTTCTAATGAACCTGAGAGATGTAGGATGGCAGAACCGCTAGTGCAGGGATGAGGAAGGAGACCTTTGAGTCTGAGGAAGGCCAGTGCCAGTCAGTTGCCAGGTAGCTGTGGTGAGCTGTGACTCTTCCATGTACGGCATTTGGAAGAGAGCTACCCCAGTAGGGTAACTACCTTGAGTTTCTTAATCATGTGGGACTATTCAGACTTCTGGTACAGACCCACATCAAGGCCTGAACAGCAAGAGGAAGCCAAACAGACCTGTTGGACACTGGACCTTCAACTACTGGATGTAGTCTTCAACTATTTCACTGTAGAGGCTGCTGGTTTGATACTGGGGGGACAGTTGACAAGTTCTGTTGGCACCAACATACAGAAAAGCCATGTCCACTGAAGAAGCGTCTTCCAGATGCTGAAAGACCTGTTGTGGAAAAGGTGAAATATTAACTCACATCCTGCAAAGGTCTGAGCTAGAAGTATTAGAAAAATTCCTTTGGAGCCTTCCAATGATTGGAAAGCAGATGCTTAACAAAGCTGGCTTGAAGATTTTCTGCAAGAAATGTGTGAGCTACTGCTGTCGGTGGTCATCTGCTGCAGCCATGGATGGTGTATCACCCATAGGCATCTCCCTGTAGAAAAAGTGAACAACTTTACTGTAGCTGCCCTCACGAAAAAAAAAAAAAACAAAAAAAAAACACCCTCCCTTGAAAATCAGGCAGATATTAGGCTGCTGCTCCATAAAGATATATAGAAGATATATGGAGAGATCATCTGATCAGCTTATAGAACACACCTAGTGATCTGCTGCCACTATGGAAAACAAGGACTCCTTGCACAGCAGAAAGAGATGGGCATGTATTTGTTCACAAAAACAGATAATGGTAGAACAGAACCAGTTTAACAGATGTAGCCAAAACAGCTCCGATATATTCTGAGTGCAACCCTCTCACTTTAATAATAGCAGACAAATGTTATTGCTGAGTTTGAGGACAAGGGGCTGCCATGTACAACCTCAAATGGAATAGCTGAATTCTCAGGATCCTTCGGGAGGTGGTACAATGGGACTTCACTATTCACTAGGTCATGTGACAGCAGTTCCCAGGTTCTTCACTTTTTTCTTCTTCCTAGATTATATCCTAGAGACATAAGAGCCCATATGTGATCCTGTACCACTTTCCTAAGTTCAGTCTTCATTGTCTGCTTTACCCATTGAGAAATGTGCTTCCATGTCCTGAATTAAATGCTCCCTGTTGAAGACATGTGAGTTAAAATGCACAAAATGTAAAATCATCTTTCTACTGAAGTAAAAGTTGCAAGAAGTTGAATTCTTCTTTGGCCTCAGTCTTATCTGCAGTACGCTGATTTGTCTTTGTGCAAACACTGCAGAATTAAACCAATGTAATGTAATTCAGAGCAGAACAAGGCCCCAGACCTCTCCTGGGCTGTTTGAGGTAATATACAACCATAAAACCAAAACCCAGTATCCCTTCCTCCTCCAGTTCCCTTGATGTGTCAGGAAACATTCAGATTTTAGATCCAAAGTGGAAAGCTGTGGTATTTGCTCTAACTTTCCTGGAGTTACTCCCAATCCATACTGTGGTAACAGACTGTCGACTCAGCTGAGATCAGAACATTTTTTCTTCTCTTTAGCTGGGCCCCCCATTTCAGTTCTTGTGGAGAGAAGGTGACAATCTCTGTCTTTCCCTGCAGAAAAAGCTATTTCTAATGGCATTACAGCCAAAGTACAGCTTTGCATCTTTCATACACTTCAGGAAGCTCTTTACTTGTAAAAAGGGCATATATAAACCTCAGACATTTGAGGCAATACAAACTGCAAATTCTCACAGTTTTATCTTAAGTTTTGTGATAATTGAGGCTTTTTTCCTTAAAGCACCAGCTTTTGGGATGATGTGATTATGTAAGAAATTTCTGTGTCTTTTTTCTTTCATTAGACAAAAAGGCAGTAATTTTCTTTCTCCCATGGTTGTAGATAGAAAGCTTAAAAATACAACCTGAGCACTCTGCAAAGGCTTAGGAATCAGAAAGCAAAGCAAAATAGGTTGAATATATATCCACTCCTAAACATAATTAGAAGTCCATGTCATAATGGGATTTGGTTTTTTTGAGATCTGACTGATGATTTTTAAATTCTTTTATTTGGCAATACCATATAGAATGGATAAAACTCTTTGTCAAGCCAAAGGCTAAAATGAGGCAAGAGTAAGTTCACTATAAACAATTACATGCATTGTCTATTCTTGTCTTTTTAAAAAACACCATCTTCTCATTACAAAAGCTCTATAACACAATGAAGACTAAAGCTTTCATGCAGCCAAGTCCCAGGATATGACAAAAATAAAAATTGAAAGGCAGTGCAGAAACAGAAGCTAATAAAACTTGAAGTAGGTGAGACTTACTTCTTTAAAGTGTAACTTTTCCCATACCCACTCATCCACAGTCTATTCTGGGTTATACTAGGGTAAACTGAGAGTCAAACCAGTGAAATAATCTGACTTTATTGGTCATAACTAATGTATTTTGCAATGAACTGATATCAGTTCTGTTAAGTTTATTTTCATTCCATTTCTTGTTCCAGCGTGTATATAAAAATCTAGCAAGAACAATGTGACAGGGGAATTGGGGAAGTACTAAAATTAAGCCTGTGTGCACAGCTTCAGTTTAACTGATACCTCTTCTGCCCTGCTTCTGAATATTAACTCTGAAGCCTTTAATGATATAATCATGTTTTTTTTTCACAAGGATCCGCTACCTCTCTAGGTAAAGGATCACTCTGTTGGGGTTTAGATGTGACGAGTGCAGCAAGAGAGACTCCTGCCTTCTAGATCTCTGTTTCACTTTAACCTTTAAAGAGGTACTTAGAGCTGCACAAACCAAGTCCTATAGAAATTAGGTGAAAATGGGGTGTTTCTGCAATCAGCTGGTAAGGAATCCAAGATTGCAAAGAGTTTCCCATTCTGTGCTTCAAACACCTTGAATAAGAAAGGAAGAGCATATGGCCTGCAAAAGAAAAACTATCCACGAGTCATACTTACAGTCTTCTGATCTATAATCACAGAGTGTTATCCATTATACTACTAGCATGCTGTGGGCAAGGTCTTTGCTTGGACAGATGCACCTTATAATCAAAGAGATGGATAATGAAATTTATTTCTAAAACCCCACCTAACTTTTCCCTAAAGTAACAGAGCAAAATGAAACCCTTGCCAGGCCAATATGAGGATGAATTAAGTATTTGTGAAGCCCTTAATAACAGCAGTGATGAGCACTAGAGAAAACTTTAGGGCTCAAGCTTCCCTATCACACTGACAAAAAGAAAGAGTAGAGGTCTTACATGGGAACTCTCAAATCCTCCAAAACCAAGAGCACCTACATTTCAAACTCTCGTTTAAAATCCTGTTTACTGCCTTAAAGGATCATCCAGATGAGATTCAGAGGGCAGAAATGAAGGACATACCAGAGAAAAACAAATATATGGCATCCTTACTTCGGAGGAAACAGATGGCTTTTAAAACAAGCCTGAATAACACACAGTAAAATAAGTAAGGGACCACATATTAAATACCACAGATAAAACAAAATGACTAAGGAATCCTCTGTCGGCCTTGTGTTCCAAATAAATTCAAGTCCTTTGGAAAGAATAGCATCCCATTAAGAACTGTATCATAATGTAGTTTTTATTCTGACATTTTTCTGAGTCATCTGAATTTCTGAATCACCTGAACTTCAACCTCATTGTTACTTGTACATGTAGGTTTCTAGTTTGGGTGAGGGAAAGGAGAAATATGACTTTTTTTTTTTTTTTTCAATGTATCATTTGGAATCATTCACATTCTTATACTCAGAAGGAGACTCTTAAGATCTACTCCACAGACTTCTATCGCTTGACCTACTGGAGTATCTTCTGATGGTACTACAATGCCATGTAGTCTGTGGGGGAGAGCAGCTCTCCTGCCATCACAGCTTCACTGCTATATATTGACAGCACTATCAGGAGGCTCAGCAGTCTGAAAGTTTTTCCATGCACTTATGGGAGGTATTGCACATCTTGATGGGCGTTCCCCTGTAATGGACCTTTCTGCATCTCAGTCTTTTCTACATCTCTGCTTCCCCTCATGCTAATCACTTTTCCTGTTGTTTTAACTTCACATTCCACCACTCAGGGATCTCATCCTCATCCCAGTCTCTCTGATAGCTTTGCAAATCTAAACCTGGCCTAATTTTTGAAGAGAGAAAAAACAAGCCCATAGGTGAATTTACCATAAAGCATTAAGGAGACATACTTGCAAGTAAAAGGATCAGAGTAAATACAGCATATCCTGAAGCCTCCAAAGTGATAATAATAGCACACTTAATTTACCAGTGTCAAATTTTTATGCCCTTGGTGTGTTCCAGTAATAACTTGAATAAGTCTGATTTTTGTCTCTAAGCTTGTATGTCTCCTTTCCCACAGTTCAGAGAAACCTTGATGTCTGGAATAAAGTGCTGAGAGGACAAAGACAGAATAGGAGTAGGTATGACAATCTATATTACTAGGGATGGCCTGGGATGCTGAGATAGATGCTGTTAAATCTGAAACAGAGTTACTCTCCCCCTTTCTCCTCCCTCAAGAATCTCTAATTGTTTCATGCAGCAGAGAAAAGCTTCAAAAGGTCTACACGGGCTTCTCTTCCAGCATGGTTCCAACTATGCCTGGATGCTCTGCTGATAGACAGGAGGTGAATAGATCTCGTTGTCAAGTTCTCTAACCCCTGCCCCTTGTGTCATCTCCAGCAGCTGACACAGAAACAACAACAACAAACGGACTAACACAATAAGGCAAAGTTTCAGACATCTAGCTCCAGTTTGAATGTTGAAAGGAGAAAGGCACTGCCTGGTGGAGAGCAGTAAGATTTCTATGCCATGGGGAGGGATGGATTTAAAGCCCTGGTCAGATGGCCTCTGGCAAATATAACTGTGACAGTGTAAGGAATTAGCTCGTTGTCCTTCAGCTACAACTCCTGAGCAGAAAACTGTTGCTTCCCCTTAGCAGGGCTGGTAGAGTTGTTTGCGACATAACTCAAGCTGCTTCAGTGCAAGAACTACCTGGTCAGACATTGCACTGGAGCAGATGAGGAGCGCTCAGGTGAACCGTTCTGCTGTGACAATGGTAACCTCAGGCAGACATGTGATGAACTCAAACAGCTGAAAGGATGTTTGTGTTTTAAATTGTTGCAGCCTCTTCTAACATGGAAGCGTATATCCAAGGATGTATCCTCTTTTCAGTGCCCCCTTTGGACTATTTTCAATAACTGGCATTTCAGCGTTTGTGGATCCCCTTCTGATGTTACCTTACCCTCTCCGTACACTGAGGGACCAAGAGGTCTACTGCAGATCTGCAGCTCCGTATGTGGGTGGTTTGTAGCTGTGGTCTGATTACCACATCAGTAAAGAAATTCTCCCTTAAATAAATGCACTATCAATTCAAAGACATTAGTAAAAGATGGTAAGGAGGCCACATGGGGCTTTTGCCATATAAATCTTACCACAGAGCTACTCAAGCTTAGCAAAGAGTCACTTCTATAGAAAGAGAATATCCTTTAGCTAAAATATTGTTGTTACTGTTACATGATGATCCAAATAATAACTTTAAATGTACCTTTAGCAAAATACAATCAATAACAGCCGAAAAGCATGCATATGCCAGGTGGTGCCTGCCTGATCTCCAGGATCCCGAACTATGCACAAAGCTGGCAGGCTGCCTTTTTGAACATTGAATGTTTGTACTATTGACTGACTTTGGTTTTGCCTTGTCTTCTGTCCCCCACCCCACCATCATCACTATGGTGACTACTGTATCATAGCCTGTCTCCTTGCCTTTGAAATTCTGTCTCTCCCTTATTCATCCTTTCTTCCTTAACATCCTTCTTCCTTTCAACCCAATTCTGCCCTTTAAATGATAGGATCAGATCTGGACTGTGGCTGAAGTCATCCCAGCTGTCCAGCCTGTCCCTGTTACGTGTTTGTCTCATTGCTCATCAATCACCTCCTGAACTACCTTGGTTTGCCAAGCAACATTTTAAGGCAAACTGAAATAAGCAACAGTTCACCTTGAAACACACACTCCCAACTGTGGCAGCCAAAGAGCCTACTGATGAGCATATATACAACAAAAGGGAGGGGAAGACATGTCCTAAGGTAAACTTTCCATTCTCTTAAAACAGTCTCGATAAATACAGGTAATGAATGCTCATCCATCTTCCTCTTATTGATTTAATCTTATGTCAAACCTCCCTTTTCACATATTCTGGAAGACATCCTGTTTTCCTCCACGTGTCAGTTAGCATCACGTAGCACAGCAACTGATAGGAGCAGAGTTCAGGGATGATAATGAGCTCTGTTGTTTCTGATGCAAGAGACAGCCCCAGAGGCTCAGAGGTTCTAACTCAACTTCAACTCAGTAAATGAAGCCCGAGGCTTCAGACAGAGCATCTCAGCCTTGCATATCCCCCTTAACTTATTGAAAGAGAGAGAAAATATTAAAAGCATCAGATATGCAAAGGATCAAGTAAGGCTGGGGTTTTAATATTCCTTATTCCATTTCCCATTTTATCCCAATTTCCTATAGAAATAAGGCTTATGAGATCAGCTGGGCAATGTACATCTCTCTTTTCCCCAACCCCCATATCTTCTTTCCACCATTAGCCAGTCTCAACAGAATTTGATATAGAAAGTAAAGTTCTTCAGAGTTAATTAAATGCTTACATGATATAAAAAAAGTGGCCAGGAAGCAGAGAGTGTGGTTTGGACCTTCCCAAGTTGACCTCAGATCATTTTGCACCTGTCACCCAATTTCTAGAATATCACTTGGCTTTCAAATACTCAAGGTGGGGGAAAAAGTTGTAAGGGTAAAGAAAGGGGAAGCATAGTGCTTTGTTGAGTACGTGTGGGGCCACAATTCTCATTATATGCAACAGCCACTGTGTGTCATTGTGGGAAAGGCAGGAGCCCTCTTGGCCACACTTGGATAGCATGCTGAGGGCAGGCAGTAAAGGGAAGAGGGCAGGGTTATGCAGTGGCAAAAAAGAGTGAAAAAAAAAACAGGAAACCTCATGTAGCTATGTAACTGCAGCCACACCAGTGGGATCATCCTCCTCCTGAGCAGCACAGCTTATGGGCCAGACAAGGACTCACCAAATGCTAGTCTAAAGAACTGAAGCCTGACTTAACATGAGCTGCAAAAGGACATTAGACATTAGGGATACATCATCCAGGAAATGTCTAAATATAACTTTACATGAAATGAACGCAGGGTGCTGACAATAACTGTCACAAATGTGTGATCTTAGGATAAGGATGAAAAATTAATCAATTAAAAATGTATAATAGGAGATAGCAGCCACTGAGGAAGTGCACAGCACAGTGCAAAGTGCTAAGTGAGTACCAGGAAGGAGTAGCTGTAGCTCAGTTCTTCCACCATTACTTGTTGTACCACACAGGCCCTGGTACCTGCTACTGCCCCCCCCCAAGAGCTGTAATGAGCCCTGTGCTGTCTAGAGCTCCTTAAAAGAGCTGTAGTCCCTGCAGTAAAATGGCAGACAGCAGGAAAAAGAGATTCCATAGCTGGATTATGGCCAGTGGATAAATGGTCAACAGTGGAGGAGGACAACTGGTGGGTCCCATCTGTGGAGCACCACTAGCTCTGGAGGGTCTGTTGTAGTTAATGGAGATGTGAGAGACCTTGAGAGAGACCAGTTGTGGGGGAGTGGGGGTGAGGTACCAGCCTGCTTCCCCTGGTGTTCCCCATGTACTGGGAGTTGTTACTGCATGACCTCAGCCCTCCCATTATTTACGGTTACAACAGCAGCTCGCATGGCCCTGCAAAGAGAAGAACAGTGACATCAAGGGTAAGAGATGGGTTAAAAAAGAGGAGGAAATGACAAGATGATCTCAAGAGAAACCTGGAGCAGCAGAAAAACACAGAAGCTGTAATGTGCAAGGATGGAAAGGAGAAGGAAAGCCAGTCAGCTAAAGGCAGTGGATCAGCCGTGGAGAGGCAAGGGAGGCAATGTGACTGCAGAACATGGAAGTCAGAGCACGATATCATTTATGCTTTATGCAGAGATAACAGTAGATTTGAGTATAATTAACTTAAAAGTCAATACTGCCCTTTATGTGATAGGAACATAGATCTGCAGAGAAACAGGCTTCATTATTTTTTCTGCTTACAGAATGACCTACTATCAGGGAAAGCCACTCTTCGGCTGGCTCTTGTAAGGTACTGGAGGTGACAACAACTGTCCTTTTTGGCGAAAAGGGAAAAGGTTATTTTAAATGGGCTGGAGCAGATGTTGTTTTCTTTTCTTCCTCCAGAGGAAAAAAAGATGAGCACACAAATGGAGAGTGAGAGGGAAGAGCTGTAGAGACAGAAAACAGTGGCTGTTGTGGTGCTGACTCTTCCTTGCCATCTCATTGTGAAAGGAAGGGCACAGCACACGCTCGTATCATTTCCTCTGAGATGATTTGTAACAGCATTTGGCTGTTCAGGGCACAGCTCAGCCTTTCTGAGCACCCTCACAGTGCTCTAACAAAAATGCACTCTTGGCTGCCTAATCCACACAGGAGCACAAGCAGACAGGGAGAGGGAAGAAAGAAAATAAGAGGCCAAACCAGGCTGAATAAATATTTCGACTGAATCCTTTACTTCAGTTTTCCTGACTGCATAATTTTTCCCAGATAAGTAGAAGACACCCATCTGAGTAACTGACCTGAATGTGTCCTCCTCACCTTGTGCCACTACAGACCACAAATGGGCAGAAACCCCACACATTCATCATTTTATCCTTTATAATGACCTCCTAGTTTGCCACATGAATTTAACTGAACTCTGAGCCTGTGACAATAAGCCTTTTTCTCCAACCAATTCCATGGATTTTTAATACTTCAATTACTTCTATTTTTCAAAAAAAACCCTCGTGTGACGGATGAGTTCAACCCTGTGTAACCCCAAATACCTTAAAGGTGTTGATTTCCACATTTTCACCCTGCTTTGATAAACCAGAATCAATCCTACTTTAATTTAATGTAACAACTGTCACAACTGCCACAACTGCTGCAGTTCGGAAGCTTCTGCACATCCTCAGCTCCTGTTCCTGATGTAGGGATGCTGGGAAGGGTGGGCATGGCGCTGCTGAGAAGCTGATTCAGCCATCACACTCTAATCCACTGCAGTGTGCAAGCTCCCTAAGAGCGGTCACCTCCTGTAGGACAAGCTCTCCTTGACTTGGACGGCAGCAGAACCCCCATGGCAGGTGCTGGGAGGGGAGCAAGAATCACACATACAGAGATATTGCTCTGGCTGGCACCACAGCCATCCCTAGCTACCACAGTTCTCCCCCATGAGTGGAGGGATGAGCACCATGCTCGGTGCATGGGCGAATGAACTATGAGAGTAACCCTGAAACGCTGAGGAAGAGGTTGCAAGGCCTCAGGCTAAAAAACAGGCTGCTACTGCCAGCTGCCCGAGGCAGAAAGCAAACAGGGAGACCCTCCCTGTGTCAGTATGGCAGCAGTGGCCCCTCTGCAGCGCAGCTCCCCTCTGTGTCCTGCAGCACAGCTGTCTAGGCACTAGGGCAGGAGAGAAATCAGCCCTGGCTCTTCCAGCCCCTGGAGAGGATCCGAGCCACAGGGCTGCTCACAAGGCTATTGGGCTGTGCTGGATCAGAGCCTTTGGCCCAGCACAAGGGGAGACAGGAAAGACATGGCAGAGC